TTATCGCAATAAATTTTGAGACAATTAATCGCCCAGCAAAATTTGTTATCGTGACAGGCCTAAAGACGATAGCTAAAAGCTAAAAATAGTGACATACTAAGTAATGTAAAATGAATGCAAAACACAAGCTAAAAATAAGCTAAGTGAAAAACAAAAGCGACAAAGTGCTATGCTAATTGCAAGCTAATAGTTGCTAAAGCTAAAGTAGAAAAATGCTATCAAAAAGCAGAATAACATGCTCTATCATATAAAAGTAGCAAAATGCCAGCCAAAGCACTAGCTAAAGGCAGCAAGCAAAAAAGCTAAAAAGTAGCTGTTTACCAAAGGTAGATACACTTCAGATAAAATTTGAAAAATGTTTATAGAAAGTAGCATAACGTTAACTAAAAGCAGCAACACATACTGTACGTAAAGTTTAAATTTTTAATCAGCAGCACCGATTCGACTGCTAAACAATTTGGGTTTCCATTAATCAAACCTATGATTCAGATACATTCTCTGATTCATCTGTGCAGACATGTTTTAATAAGGCTTCACAAACACACAAATAATCATTTACTTTGCTACAGAGTGTGGCTACTTAAACTGTTGTCATAGAGACGTCTCTGTGCAGGTTTGAGCAGTAGCTCACGCAGGCAAAGACCAGAAGGAACCACAGGGAGTTCAATAACATTAGTGTCTCTCAGGATGCTCTTTTGTTCATACAAACATATAAAAACAGATGTGCACGTCACACAGGCTAACTGAAGGACAACCCAAAGGACAGAGCAGGTTTGCAAACAGAAGCAGTGATGTTTGAGCTGACCTTGAGTTAGAGACGAGCCAAGAAACATGTTAGTGGATTCACAGCTTCAGACAGAACAAACACAGGAACTCTGTAAGTGTGTGTTGTTGTGTGTTGAGACAAGTACACACACTCAGAGAGAAATAGAGATTAAGATTTGTGGCACAAATTGAATCAGTTATCATCACTGGTCTCTCCATTTGACTTTGATCTTCCTTCAGCTCGCTCGTACCGAGCAGCGTCCAAACGCAGCCTTTGTGTCGCGCTTTGTCGTTCTGTTCTTTTGCTTTAGGGTTTATCTGTGCATTTCTAGAGTTCTGCTTCTTATTTTCCTGTGTGTTACCTGTAGCCTGCAGCAGTAATCTGTGGCGGGTGTCAGATCCGACAGCTCGCACTGCGTGGCCGAACCGCAGTAGATGAGCTCCATGGGTTCGTCTTCCCTCGCCCACTCCAGTCGATACTCGGAAATGTCTGTACCCGAACCTTCGGGGCTCTGCATCACACGGAAACACAAACAATTAGCTTCAAGAATCGACAAGCGCCTGGCTTTAACCTATTCAGGTCTGACGGAGCGGATATTTGCTTTAATATTTTAGAGCTTCATTATCCTTTTCAAGACAAATACAGAATTTCCTGATGGATTTGCACAAAACAAAAGGCGAACATTTCTAATAAAAGATTAAATATTCAGTTTGTTGTTGCTTTTTATCACCTGGAAAGCAAAAGTCCTGTGTCAGGATGTGATCACACACCATCTGGTTTTCTTACACTTTGCTATTAACTAGCTGTATCTGACTGTTAGCAAAATATCTCATAAACCACTGGATAGATTTTTATACATTTTTTCAGATTGTAGTAATCAAATGTACATCAACAACTGATTCAACGTTGAAGTCAGCCCATTCTAAGATTGGATTTTTTGGATTTATAAACTTTATTCATTTCATGAAACATAAAACAAAATTCTATGTACAATAAAAAGAAAATACAATGAAATGAAAGGTGGCAGAGAGAAGAAAAAATCTTATATCTGCCCCTTTTCTCTCAAATATAGACTCAAACTATAATAATCTTGAGTTAACAAAACAAAAGCATTGAAACTTTCTAAAACAACAAAGTGAATGACTACTTCTTAAACCATTTTTTATTTTTTTAACAGTCCAGTCTTTATCATTCTCTTAAATAAGCACATTGATGTGGCACTTTTAACATCATCTTCTAAACTATTCCACAGTCTCACTCCTTGAATTGAGATGCATCGTTCTTTCAAGCACGATGGCCGCTACAGCTAACCAATATTAACCAACACAAAAACTGATCATCTTACAGATATTTTACTAAAATTTGGCGTTCTAGTATCTGAGATTCATTCACAACTCATATTTCTAGCACATACACGTTTTGTGAGATGTCACAATATTTTGTGAGATTGTGCATAATGTCAAAATATTATTTTCCAGGTTTTGACCAAAACAGCTTTAACTCTCTGCCTTTGTTCAAAAGAAGATGATGCATGTCGACCATACATGTCAACCCCTTCGGATGTTATTTATTGTTTTTTTTTACGTCCTACAGGCTCTGACATTTTAAGTAGCTAAATTTGAAATTGAGGTTTTGAAAAAATCCATAAACATGAAAATAAATCTGTGACATTGGTCTGTACGTCCGTACACCTGCAAAATGATGGATAATCTGTGTAAATTACGGACAATCCGTACAACTTGACATGGTAGACTCAAGTTGAAACAAAAAAAATGTTCAGATATTAAACTCTGTGTGTTTACTTAAATTTCTAAAGAGAGACGTGCAAATTAGAATCTTCTAAATTTCATCATTTCATTTTTTTTCCAGTCGTTGTGGCGTGATAGTGAAACAAGTCTGAGAAAGTTTTGAAAGATTAGGAAAAAGTTAAAAAGTAAAGTTGTTTAGGTTATTTTATAAATCTTTCAAAAACCCTTCTAATACCTAATTTTTCAGATGCTTTTTGACTAAAGAACAAACATATTTCCCGTGCGTTTGTCTCACCTCCCAGTTGAGCGTTATGCAGGTGTTACTCGTGGGGGTGATGAGCGGCGCCCCACACTGGCCCGGAGGTCCGGCTGCAGTCGTCACCTCTGTCGGCTCAGAATACGGCCCAAACTATAACACAAGTCACAACGCGGTCCTTTCAGTCGTAAAAATAACCTTATGTTCTTTTAGTTTTAACATTTTGGACCAAAAATGTCCTATAATCACTGTTTCCGACGTATCTAATAGGAAAAATTGATTTTGCTTTTACTTGTGGGGGTCATGCCAGTGAAATGTGCATGGCACTTATCTGAAACAAGCTGGGAAAAAAGCATAAATTGCTCTCAATTTTCAGTGTGTGTGTGTGTGTGTGTGTGTGTGTGTGTGTGTGTGTGTGTGTGTGTGNGTGTGTGTGTGTGTGTGTGTGTGTGTGTGTGTGTGTGTGTGTGTGTACTAGACTTCTCTTTAAATGTGTTTGTGTCTGGTTTTGATTAACTAGTCTGAGTGCTAGCCCACTTTTTCAGTGAAGGTTTAATCAGTTCGGTTTGATCTTGTGTTTATTCTGTGGAGGACTCCAGCATCTAAACTCAGCTCTGGGTACTCTGTCCGGGACAGTCGAGCCAATTATTCTGGCCTCATGTCTTTGTGACTGCAGCCACAATTTGAAGTTAACATTTATTTTTTTGCTTTATCTTATTAAGTGGAACTTTATTAAGTGTTTATAAATAATTAACTTGGTGAACTGAGCAGCAACATGTTGCAATGTCTTTTCCATCAGAAACAAGTATCCACCTGGAAACTGGTATTTTTACATTTCATGGTCTTAAACAGATTAAAATTTCAAGAAGCCTTCACTTTTACTGAAAATCTAGTCTAGATTTTTTTAAATGTAGTAAAGATGGAAAAGTTATGAAAGATTAATCATTCTTTAAATAACCTCAGTTTGGAGAAAATGTTTATTTTTGTCCAAACTGATGAACTAGAAACAAGTCCAGATGGGTCTACGATCAAAGCTAATGGCTAATGTCTTAAAGAGGTAGTGTGGTGACTTTTGAATTGGCTTTCAGTTAAATACTTATCATTAACTAGTACCTTATCAGCCTTGACTTCTGTCATACATCACAGGGGATGGAGGCTAGAGCTGGGCGGTATGACCCAAATTTTATATCACGGTATTTTCAACAGTTACACCGGTTTCACGGTATTTGACGGTATTTTTTTCCTCACAGCTCAGCTGATAATAAAATGTACAAACTTTGCTTATTGACTTTTTTCTTTTACTGTACCGCTGTATCACTGTTTCCCTCCTCGTGTACGTCTTTTCATCTTTGCCTGGTTGTAGACAGTAATCAAACATTTAGGTCCGATCATGAAGGGTTGAGAAAAAATCATTATCTGGTCTAACGTTGCGTGTTAATAAAACATAAAAGGACGACTCACTTTGCACACCAGTCAACTCCCCCTACATTACAAAACTACTTCCTCCCGGGCTTTTCACAATAGAAGCACGCTAGCGTCTCCATGCAATAACGTCTCCATTATAACGTAGCGCGTTAAAACTAACTGTGCAGGTCACCGAAGAGTTGTTTACTATTCAGCGATGGTGAAAACGGGATGTTTTTTTTTACGTCAGACCATATAAGCGGCTGAAACACACCATGCTAATGCACTTAGCTGTGCTGCAACGAAACGTGTCCCCAGGGAAACAGTTCACTGGCGGCCGCAGCGAAACGTTCCGCACGTGTTCAGGGTATTTACACCGGTATTCAGAAAAGTCATATCATAACAAAAATAAAAACCTGTTTTGGGTACAAAACGGTATACCGCCCAGCACTAATGGAGGCTATGCTAATGGCTAACCAAAGTGGGGCCTGTTTTATTTCGTTTTATCGCTTAATAAAAAACTATTTCAAAGATGTCAAGCAGGTGTTAAACATCACTAATGAGTGTATCAGTCTGCCTGATCATTGTGTGTGGTCAAGTCTTAATGTTTACAGGTTTCATATTAAAAGTCATGTAGTATTGAGAAGCTGAGGGAACACTTTGCATCTAATTTTATTATTGATAACAGGTCAGTAAAAAAAAAGAGTATAAAAAGAAAATTTTAGAGTGGTTTTATCTCTCAGAAGTAAAGATGTCTGCAAAAACTGCATCTAAAATAGTGAAACAATTTCAGTATAAAGTTCCTCAATAGAAAATACCATCATGTACAGTTCATAATATCATCAAAAAAAAGTACAAATTCTGGAGAAACCTGGAGAAACCATAAATGCTGGTTAAAGCTCTATCATGAAAAGAAGAAACCGTGTGAACACCATATATTGGCTAAAAGTCATTTAAAATGGACTGAGGTGAAACAGAAAAATGATCCTTGGTCAAACAAGTCAAATATTGAATTTTTTTGGAAATCCTGGACGTCCTATCCTCTGTACTAAAGAGGAGAGGGTCCGTCCGGACCTTTATTAGCACACAGTTCAAAAGCCTGCCTCTCTGATGGTATGGAGGTGCATTCAGGTCTATAGCATGGTTAACTTACACATCTGGAAAGACACCATCAATATAGAAAACTATACGCAGGTTTTAGAAAACCATGCACCCATCCAGCAAAGAAGACGCAGGACTGCTGGTTAGTTAGAATCCTACATCAGACAAAACAGAGACAACTACCTCTAAAAACTCTGTTAACTGGTCTTTTCAGTTTCTACAACTTATACAAACTGACATTAAAAACGTCACATGGCTCAATGCCAAACTTTCTGAGATGTGTTGCTGCATTTTTACATTTTTTTCCAAAAAAATGTAACTTTTGACATGTTTACTATGTTCCATTATCTACAAATCACTGCATTTAATTTTTATTTATAGTTTACACAACTTTTTTGCAGAGTTGTAAAGTAACCAAGTACAAATACTTTGTTACTGTACTTAAGTAGAATTTTTGGGTATCGGGGGTCGGATTTATAAAACTGGCGTACGCACAATTTGAGCCCAGAAACTTGCGTACGCCACTTTTTACGCT